AAAATTGAGTGGACATAATACGGCCATTTGATTCATTTATGATAGTCTTTTGACCCGGGCAAAGTATAAATTCCAGTCTAATCCAGTCAGGATGAGAATAACTTTTTGAAGGCAAAGCCAAGTGGGATTCGACGGTATCGTTAAGTCTACTTATATCATTGTCAGAAAATCCAACTATCATCCTATGCGACCTAGACCAATGCATCCATGATTAAAGTGCCTCATCACTCGGGCATTCTGTTGTTCGACGCCTTGGAGTATGTTTCTGGCCTATCTAAGGCAGCACAGTATCTGAAAAAGGCTTTCCTGTATTGCTCCTTCCTCAACAGTGGCTTCCGTGTCTACAACGACTGGGTCCGCTTCGTGTTCGCCTCTGAGTCGGAGACAGATCGCTCCAAGTGGATGAATAAACTAGGCCTGGCCGCGATCGGCCTCTCCTCCTCCGTGCAGACGGCTCGCATCGGCGGCTTTCATCCCGGTTACCTGACTCGCGGACAGCCTGGGCTCAGCAACCCGTCCCCGGCCAGTCCCTTTTCCGCTTCTCCTTTGCCAACCAGTATTGCCAGCTCCTCCGTAGTAACCTCACCGACGACCAACTTTGCCCACTCGGCCGTTGTCTCGACGTCTGCCACTTTGAGTTTTGGATCCAAATCGCGTCCGACATTGTCACTCTCGGCTTCGCCCAGTCCCTCGGCACCGGCCAGCCAGAAAGGATTTCCTTCTGTCGGTGAGACCGACGCAGAAGCCAAAGGTACATTTCCATCAACAGGACTCTCGTCTCCTTCTACTCCGTTTGGCCCTGCCTCCGTCATCAAGTCTACCGGCACCGCCTCCACAGAACTCGGTCTCTCTGTTGTGGCCGCCAAGCTCTTCGGACAAGTAACTTTGCACCTATTTTTCACCTCCATTCAGTCGCTTACTCTGTGCACTGCTTCTTATTTATTATTTTTAATTTTTGTGTAGGTTTTCGAGACTACCAGTAGATCAGATATATGATATGTATTCACCCTGTTTAGTTTAAGGTGATGAGGAACTGATAGTTAAGTTTTCCCACAATGGTGTGAGTATACCTTAAGTTTCCATCGAATTTTACAATGTGGGAAAATTCGACTACCAGTCCTTCATCACTTTAAATTAAATAGGGTGAACACATTTTATATTCTTTTTTTATTTTTTTTCTCCTCCCCCCCTCTTTTATCTTTAATTGTCTCTTCCTTACTTTTTATTCACTCTCTTCTTCTATCGCCTTACCATTTATACATTTGTCGGTTGAGCCTTCTCTGCTGCATCCTCGGACATCACTTGCGTCGTAACTACCACGGCCTTTTGATAAGAACATCCACCACTTTTTTTCATTAGCCGGCTACCAGGCCACATGCTTATCTTCCCATTTGCATCCCACTTTGACGCATCCTTCAATTAATCTCTACTTCCCCTTATTCAGGCGGCATCTCTTCTTCAACCAATCGCTTCGTCCTCTCTTCTCTCCGGTATGCTCACCTCCGCCAATTCTGCATCCTCCAGCAAATCTGCACCCTGCCCAGCCATCCCATCTTCACTGTCTGTGCCCGACACAACATCCTCTGCCAGCCACTCGCCTCTCTCTGGCAGCGACGGCTCACACGAATCTTCTCATTGTCCGGTCACAGTATCTGCTGAAGTAGGTACAGAGGATCTGGAAACTGCATGTGAACTATTCCTATACTAAAGTGATCCCCGGCGTAGTCGAGTCGGTAATAGCATCAATTTGATGATTGCTTCGGAAACTAGTAGTCGGATAGTTTAGTTGAGAACCTGGTTTTTGTTGATCTGATAGGGGAGATATCGGTCGCCCTATTTTGCAAATGCTGTCGGCGGTTGTTGCATTCAGAGGTCAGAAGTGACAGATTAATAACTTAGTTCACCCTAGGTCACAAGGTGATTTAAGAGCTAATTATTGAGTCTTGCATTCAATGAGATAAGTGGGCCTCGCGATGCCATTGAATAAAGGTCGTCGACTAGGGGTACTGATGAGACTGATGAGCAAAATTAAGTGCAATTTAATGGCACCTTGAAGCCTAACCATCTCATTGTGGGAAAAATCCAACTATGAGTCCCTACATCACCTTAAGCAACCTAAGGTGACTAAGTTTTTATTTGCGAATTAATGCTGATTTTGGGACCCACTTATGCTGAAAATAAAGTTGCTGCTGCTCAACACTTCTTATTTCGGCTGTCACGGTCGAATGGGTAATGAAATCACGCCACAAAATTGTCTATAACATCTCCCTCGTAAATATGCTTCTGTGCCATCTTCCGATGGCTGGCCCTAGGCTCAAAAGTCTCCGCACCTGTATTCTGCAATATTATAATCATCACTGAACCAGTCAGTTCTTATTTGAGGTAAATTGTTTTGCTGAACTTCTCTTGTCTTTCCCTGCCTACCTTCTACATCAACTAGTCCTCTGGTAGAGGTTCTATAGGCAACCAAAGTTCTCTCACGTACCCTACGCCTGGCAACCGGTGGCGACCTGGCGCCTCCTCCATAGGCCCTATTGGTTCGACGCTGTTTATCACTCACCGATCGTCAGTCCTGCAGCCAGCCGATGACGCCTTGATAAACTTCGACCAGACAAAGCCTATTGCCGAAAAGCAGGCAGCTGTATCCAGAGGCAATGCCCGCCACCTTGCTGTATCTGAGTGCTACACCGAGAGCGACTGCTCCGACGACATGGAAGGCGCTCAGAGTGCGAACTTGGATGAAGACTATACAACGGGTGAATGGACTCTTGTTTTATTCATGCCAATATCCATCGGTTTGGGGTCTTGGTTTATCGTGGGGCAGACTCCATGTGTATCTCCTCAAATCGTCTTACAGGCTTTTGGCCTTTGCTTCGTCTGGTAAAACTTGTTATGTTATTTGTTTAAAAAATACATTATATATCTTGCGGTGTGTATAATATAATGTATAGTGCCATAATAATATTGTGTCGATTGAGTAGGCCTCAAAATTATCCGTAAATCTTTACAAAGAGCAACATTCCCACCGCGATAGGTCTGGCTTGCTTTGAAAGGCACAATTGCTCTGTTCCCAGCCCACTGTGATTCGAGCTGTGTGATTGAGTGGTAGTATTGCCATTTGGTGTTCACAAGCTTATTTCGGATCTTGATGAGACCAAGGAAAGGTCAAAGCTGTGGTCTAGTCCAGCAGGGCTAAAAATCTCTTTGGGGAACCAAGGCTAAGTGAAATTCACTGGAGTCATGAGGCCTATTTAAATGGTTTTGGGAAACTTCAACTATTAGTCCTTCAGGACTTTATACAATTCAGGGTGAATGAGTTCTAGTTTTGTCGTAACCTGCTCAACATGATTTTAAGAATAGTGCATAGCGAAATTATGTTAGCCGTGATTTGTTGAAGAATTATAGCATTCTGGTGCGTAATATCCGCACCATGACGACTTAGAGATCACATCTTATGTTGGGGCCAATATTCTTATTGCCTTTTGATTTTGGTCTTATTTCTTCGAACCGACGGAGCAGACGATGTGTCCGCCGGGGAACCAGAGGATTCATCGTCCACCCGCTGGAGCCTGTCGACGCGTGCCGGCCGGTTAAGTGTACCGTCAGCGGCCCCGGTTGCTTCGAACAGCACCACCATCACTTCTTCTCCGCCGTCGGGCTTTCTGCGACGGATGCTAGTTGGTAATGCCGCAAAGCAGGTGACGCTCACCGCCCACTCGGGCCTTGTTTCTCCCATGAATGTGACAGAGACCTCCGCCAGTCCTCGATTGGGTCGCCGAGGCGTGGGTAAAGAGAGTCTGAGCACCGGAAACCTGAGTCAGTTGGAAGAAATTGAATCCAGATCAAGAGGCATAGACTGTTCCCCGATCTGCTCATGGGGTCGTCGAAGCCCCGGGGGGCCCAGTCTCACGCGCCAGAGACCTGTGGTAGTTCGCCGGCGCACCCCCGTCGAAATCAACCCTTCGCTTTTTCTAGGGCTTGCCTCACCACCCCCCATCAGTGCCACTTTTGTCTACCCCTCCTCTCAGATGGGCTCTGGAAGCCCGATTGTCAAGGTTCCAACGGCATGTAGCAGTGACATGGAGCCAATCACGGCGATTGCCATTCCGCTGCCAGACCCTGCGGCTACTAGCCCCACGATGAGTGATTCTCTCAGCTCATTGGCTCATTCAGAAGGTGAGCTATGATTCGTTTAAGAGCATTTGTCAACTAACTTTAAATGTTAGAGGGACCTTCATTTCGTATGAAAGTGCATGAAGAAGAGATTCGTTGGTCGATCTCACC